TGACACGTAGTAAACCTCACTGTGCCCCTATGGACATCGACCCGTAATTCTCCGTTGTTGTGGTAAGAAGAGCATCCTTCTCTGTGTCTTAAGCTGACGCACCTACCCTTAAAAGTTTTACCACAAGAAAAGACTATCCGGGTAGTGTATCCTATCTCTCCATATGCTCCACACACAAATGGCACGAGAATTTTCTGCCACTCTGAAATAGATTGTGAGCTTGATTCGTAACTCTAGGTCCAACCAACCGACAGTAGAAAGTACACCAAAGAATACGGTGCCAATAGCAAGCAATTTACAAGTGTAATCGGAGTAATCGCAGTAAGATATGCTAGAAATCTTACTTAAGAGTAAAAGAATTCCTTTTTTAGATAAAAGTATTTTTACCGCCAGTCAACCATCTTGTCATTAATTAATATTCCAATTTGAAATAGTGAAAATCTATTTAGCATTGAAAATAATATTTGAGCTTTTTTCAAAGGTTAAGGATTTTTAACGCTTTCCCCCCACCATCCCCTTTTTTCAATTCTCTAAATGAGCTACTCACCAGACGATAGATCGGAGGCAAGGGAAAGAAAAATAATCATGGTGTTTCTCACAGCTCGTCCACGCCTAAACAGGCAGTTTTGAAGGAGGGTTTTCTGTGCACAACTTTCGCCAAAGCCTATACAAACCGCACAAAAGGTCACTCGGTTTTTATTTTTGCGTGTCAGTTCAAAAGCCGAGAGCGTGACATTTCCGTCCTGGCTCTATTGACGCCGGTGTGACATTTACCCGGTGAAAAATCGATCTAGTACAAAAAATATTATAACTCTTTTTTGGTATGCGAATGGGGCTATCGTCTCTGTAATGAATTACCTCTGGTGCGATTCGTGATTTCTGCGTTTTTTCGGCCAGTTGTTACCCCATACCGTCTGAGCTGATGGAGGAAACTATTTTTAGAAAAGAACGCTTCGGGCGAATAGAGCCGAAGCTGTCGCTAGTAGAATCTTAGAAGAGAATACCGATAGTGATTATTCTCCTGTTTTTTTTTGACAAACTCAGATGTTGCATTTATTTTACTGCCTTGATCGTGACACTGCAGTGCGCGACACATGACTTGGTACAACCGCTTATCGTAAACCGCTTGGGCAACCATGTCACGTATTTGTGGCACCGGATTTAAAAAGGAAATTGGATGTCGCGTACATGTGACGTCGGTGAATAAGGGAGTCATTTGCCTGTATTTAATTGTGAAAGTACAGATCCACCAAAGCTTGAGATCGCACTCGACAACACAGTGAAGTCCCTGGAGTCACTTTCTGATGTGCTGGAAAAGAAGTAGGAAAAAACTAGTCATGGATGAGGCTGTCAATTCCACAAAGGTTTTTGGAAAGATGAACCACGCATCCAAGTGATTCAAGCTAAAATCTTCAACAGATGACCAGTTCATGTGGTTCGTTTCGATTGCGATCTCATTCGAATGCTCTTACCAAATCATTAAGAATAAAATTCAAATATCACTATTGATGAGATGTACCAGTGCCTTACCAGCCCGCAGGATAACCACTTTGATTCAGGTAGAGTCCTGAATCCTGGCCTTGGTGGCCTGAAATGGGCTAGACCGAATCTTGATTATAAGCACCTACGGACTGCGCCTCCAAAAACTGAAAAGAACTCGATGAGAGTGCGAATTGGGGAGCCTAAATTGTCTGCAAAAATCGGCGCCTGAAAAGGAGTATCTAGAATGTCCCTTCATGGGTTGTAAATACTCCTAGTGGTTTCTTTCTCCCTGGAGGTGGCCCCTCATAATGAGATGCGAAATGGAACAGACAATTAGGAAACAGAAATGCGACAGAAAGGGAGGTTTTTAGGGTTAAATTTCTTGTCTCTGTAGACAAAACATAGTCTAACTGCAAAATTTGCTATCAAAAGAGCTCTTAAATTATGTGGATTCGGACTCACAAAGTGGTGAATTTGCATTACATTTGGCATTACATTGCATTTGACAAAAAATCCCTCTTTTTGTCTTTTCTTGAATTATTTCTGTCAAAGAGATTTAACTGATAGGCAGTGTGGTGACAGTTTGAAGATGCTCTTCAACTAGTCCCCTTCAGTTGTCAGTCAAAAACAACAACTCCTCCTTTTATGATAAAGTACTTGACATGGATCAAACTCCTCCAGATTGCCAAGTCGACTTCCTTTATCATTGAAGGGAGGTGGAGGCTCTCTCATGACTAATTTTCCCACTTTTATGCTAGTCATAGTTTCTAGCTCAAAAATTTTAAATTTTATTTAAATCGACCTCTATAAGGAATTTTTATCTCCTAATATCCTAAGAAAACCTATGGGGAAACTGGTTGATATTTTGGAATAAGCAAGACCGAGTAATTGGAAGTTTACTATTGGTTGATGGGATTCCTGAAACGAAGTAGCACTGATCCACTATCACATAAAGCTGTTCTCTTCAAAGTCAGCCGCTTTGACAACCACTTTAGCCACAACAATGGCTGCACATTTGACAGTCAATTTATCTACCCGTTAAATGGCCATGACAGGGTACCTGTAAATAATTTCAGGAAGTATTTTTACGTTACTCGATCACATTAACCCTAATCCCGGATAGCAGTCTCGATTTTGATGAAGCGTTGTATAAGGTGAATGTCTGCATTTTTAGGTTGTTGACACCCTATTCTATGTACAAAACCCTAGATTGTAGTGATTTTTGTCACTAAAAGATGCCTATAAGGTGAATTAATTTTTAGAAAGGGACTAGGAAAGCAGAAGTAGCATAGATGGATGAAAGAGAGGAAGGGGAATAAGGTCAAGAACAGAGGAGATATAAACATTAGCTACTTCAAGCTAACCTTAAAACCATTTATTTGGGAGACGAGGTCCTTTCTTCAATGTAGACCGCTTCAATGCATCAGCGGGCGCAGGCGCACAAAATATACGCCAACGGAGAGAAAGAAGACAAAAAATTGGGGAAGGGAAATGAAGGGGAGGTAGGGGGGTAGAGGCGCAGAAAAAGGTGCTGTGCAATGCAAATTGATTCTCCCCATCTAGCCCCTTGTCGGTGCATTCAATAGGAGGCGAGGCAGTCACATATTCTCCTCTACCCCCTTTATTCACAAGAATTTTTTTGTCCCGGTGCCTATACCGGAGCTAATTTGCAACCAAAAGCACTGCATGGCACTTTTTCTGGAAAGGCAAATGATTAAATGGGTTCACAAAATTTGTACGCTAAGATGATTAGAGCATGCCGGGTAAAAAAACTTTTTCCTGTTTTCTTTACTATATCATAAGGGAAAACTAGGAAAATTTCCAAATAACTTTTTAGAAGAATTGGTTAATTATACTAAAGCATGTTTATTGGAAGGCGGTTCTGCACCTTTTTGTCAAAAAAAATGCCTATAACTACTTTTGGAGGATCAGCAAGGTACCTTTTTAATTAAGGAGACAGGAAAAGTTGTTTTAAACAAAATTACTGCCTACCTGCTTACAAAATTGGCTTATAAAAATTTTGGCAGTGTCCAGAGTTATGGCGACCTTCACGGTGGTCGTGAATGAGTTCTGAGGAAGTACATGTCAGAGGCTGAATATGGCGCACTTGAGGCATCTTTTAAAATCCGTGTCCACTCTAAGGGGAAAAAAAGTTTAGTATGATATTTTCGTTCTTTCTTCTACATCCGGCCTCTTGATTGGGGAGGTTGGTCAAAGGTTGTGGCAGTAGATTTCGCAACCACAGTTTTACAAAATAATAGGAGTTTTTCACCTCCTCGGAATGTAGTAAATGCGGCATTATCTCCCCTATCCCTCTCATTGTAAAGCGCATAAAGATTTGCCGTTCAATACGATGTTATGCATCGTCCAATAAGAATATGACAAGACGAAGTGGTGCC